ACTTACTAGTTCACGCGTGTTTATGCATTATTACTTGTTTATCGTTGTAAAATGCACGGGCCATTCAAAGATAGTGAATGGATGAATGGAATGTATATTCTTTCACATGTTTTATGAAATGACAACTAGTGGGGCCCGATTAGGATAGAAAATACGGACTGCAATCCGTGATGTATTTTTGTAAATCTAAATATGGTCTGCGAACTGTTGAGTATTTTTGTACCTTAATATTTAGATTAGTCCTAATCGTAGATACTAGTAATTGCATTTAATTTTTGTCAAGTCATGGAAGACGAAGCCATGAAGTTGCAAATGAAGACCTTTTGGAGATATCAAGATCTCAAGGGGTCATGCTAGTTGCCAAATGCATCTCTATTTATGTTTTTTGATATATATGTGTGTTTATGTATATGAATTATATATGAGATGCATGTTTAGGATTTTGAATGTTGTAATGATTAATTAAGTTCACTTAAATCAACCAACATAGAAACCCTAAGTCCCTAAATATTGAGTAAAACTTGCCATTCCAAAACAACACTTACCAACCGAACGAGGGTAGTGGTGGGCTACGCCAAAGCGAGGCATCACTACCTCTCCGAGGAATGTAAGGCATACCGGGTATGATAATTTATTTTGGTTGTACTCAACGATATGAGTGATGGAGTCCTAACATGTCGTGGCAAAGTGAATAAATTGTTGAGAGAGCATTAGATGCGACAATTTATTCAACCAAGAGTGGCTTGGAGCCATTAGCAAAGTGTTGCTTACCTTAGGAGATTGAGTGTTAAGACAAGCCAAAGCATGCTTAACCACTCTTTGTTTCTTCGGATCTTGAAATCGACTTATTCTCAACCAAAAATGGGGACAACTTTAAATGTGTGAATAAGACGTTTTAAATAAGTTTGATTAAAAATGCATAAATTCAATCTTTTTTAAAGTATTATGAATGGTTTTTCATTACAAATTCTTTGAATTGTAGAATCATGTCTTCAACTATCGACAACAATCATATGTTCCCAGAACTTCCCGAGAAGTTATCATTTATCTTGAATTTGGTAAACTTCAAGGAATGGGAAGAGGAACTCCGTTTGACCCTCCACAATTGCTACCTAGAGCATATCTTGGATACGCCCATCCCGAGTTTCTACTCAAAAGGGATTATGAGTGATATGGCTCATGAGGAGTGGAGTTATGATTGCAAGAGAGTCTCACGACTCATGGAAAACTCCATTCCGGAACAGTGGAAGAAAAAATTCTCCAACTACCTTCCGGATGTACTTCTCAAGGCTCTAGAAGATGTGGTCAATTTGAGGGTAACAAAGAGAGATAAAGGAAACTATGATGGACTCGTGGAATAAGTGACTAGGTCATTGTCTAACATGAGGATCAAGCCACCACAAGATGGGTGTCTTAGCAAAGAAAGGCAAGAAGTATGGGCTAGGGTCTATAGTGCAAGACTTAGACCTTGGATGCCACTTCAAGCCCATGTGCAAAAGATGACAAGGTTATTTAACCATCTGGAACTGATTGGTAAACCAGTGGAGGATGAACAAGCGACTCATAAGCATTTAAGCTCACTCCACTTGGGATACGTTGCAATTAAGATGCGACTTACCAACACTCAAAACAAACTGTCCTACAAAGAAGTTGTCCAAGAGCTCCAAAAAACCTATTCTTGCAAGGCGGCTAAGTTTTCTCTAATGCTCAAGAAAAAGGAGTTCAAAAACAAGGCTAAAATGCGCTGCTTCTATTGTAGTAAGCAAGGTAACTACAAAAGAGAATGCAGCGAGTATCTAGAAGATGAGGCAATAGGAAAGAAAGCCTCAATCTCAGGTATCATCTACACACTTGAAAATAAGCAATTTATAAGTTATTAGATACCTGAAAATTGACTCATTTTATTCTCTTATTTCGGGAACAAAATGAGCGGTGTTTTTCAAGTGGTCATGAGTACACAAGTGGAAAATGAAGAAAATCTATCCAAAGAAAGCTTGTAATCTCATGTATTTTGTCCAAATAAGCAATCTACCATACAGTGATCTTGCGACGTTGGCGTCATTTTAACCTTGATCACAAGACCTTTTGTTTAAATGTCTTGCTTATATTTATGGAAATTACACCTTTTGTGTGTTTAGACAAAATTGTTTATGATAATACCAAAAGAGCTAAGACATTGGAGTCAAACCAAACTTACTTGTGGCATTGTCGTCTTTGCCACATTAACATCAAATGCATCAAGAGACTTCTGCAAGAAGGTATTCTTGACTCTTTCGATTTAGAATCGTTTGAGAATTACGAGGGATGTTTATTAGGCAAGATGATTAAACAGCCATTCTCCAAGTTGGGAGAAAGGGCAGGAGACTTATTAGGTCTAATACACACTGATGTATGTGGACCAATGAGCTCCACCACAAGAAATGGACACAGATATGTTATCATCTTCGTAGATGACTATAGTAGATATGGTTATGTCTACCTAATGTCGCATAAATCTGAATCGTTTGAAAAGTTCAAAGAATTTCAGAGTGAAGATGAAAATCAGCTTGGCAAGAAAATCAAAACCCTTCGATCGGATCGAAGTGGTGAATACTTGAGCCAAGAATTCAATGACCATCTAAAAGAAAAGGGTTACTTTCAGAATTAACACCTCCAGGAACTTCACAATGGAACGGAGTATCTGAAAGGAGAAATCGGACCTTGTTAGACATGGTATGATCAACAATGGGTCTTAGTGATCTTCCTATCTCTTTCTGGGGACACGCACTTCTAACTGCGGCACTAACATTGAACCATACACCATCAAAAGCTGTAGAAAAGACTCCATATGAATTATGGACGAAGAAACCTCCCAGGTTGTCTTTTCTAAAGATATGGGGATGCGAAGCATATGTCAAGAAATTGATTTCTGACAAACTTCATCCCAAATCTGACAAGGTTTAATTTGTGGGCTACCCAAAAGAAACCAAAGGGTATTACTTATACAACAAATTGGATAACAAAGTGTTTGTTGCTCGCGATGGTGTCTTTTTGGAGAAGGAACACCTTTCCAAAATGACAAGTGGGAGGAAAATCGAACTCGACGAAGTTCGTGAGGATGAACAACAAAATTAGAATGACAATTAAAGTGCTCAAACACCATCTGTTGACGCAGGTCAAAATGATCAAAATGTGCAAAGTCAAACCGAAAATGCAAATGCTCAATCCATTACCCTACGTAGGTCTTAGAGGCCGAGATCTCAACCTGATAGATATCTTGGTTTAGTATAAACCGAGAATCATGACATCCTGATCATGGATGAAGATGAACCGGCAACCTACAAGCAAGCGATGGCAAGCACTGACTCTGCTAAATGGCAAGAGGCCATGAGATCTGAAATGGATTCCATGTTTGAAAATTAACTTTGGAAATTAGTTGACTTACCCGAAGGTTATACACCTATCGGTTGTAAGTGGATTTTCAAGATGGAAATGTATTCATTTACAAAGCTAGATTGGAGGCAAAAGGTTACAGACAAGTTCATGGTATTGATTACGATGAAACCTTTTCACCTGTTACAACGCTTAAATCCGATCGGATCCCCGTAGCGATTGCTCCATATTACAATTATGAAATATGGAAGATGGACGTCAAAACCGCCTTCCTTAATGGTATTTTGGAAGAAACTGTGTATATGACACAACCTGAAGGTTTTGTCGACCAAAACAATGCTGGAAAGGTTTGTAAGCTTAAGAAGTCCATTTATGGACTAAAGCAAGCAAGCAGAAGTTGGAATCTGCGATTCGATGAAGCAATCGGTAAGTTGGTTTTATCAAGAATCCAGATGAATCTTGTGTTTACAAGAAGGTCAGTGGGAGTGACATCGCCTTCCTAGTCTTATATGTTGATGACATATTGCTCATTGGAAATAGCATTCCGTTGTTAGAGTCCCACCCCATGATAACTATGGTAGATGATGGCCCTAGTTCAGGTGCAAAGCGCATAAGGTTTAGGCTCCCTGCTGGTTTGGAGCCGGATGACGTTTACATGGATTATCACCAGATCTACTATCCCCAGTTCTCCAACCCCCATAACTAAATGGGCAGCGTAATCTCTTAAACCCTAAATTCAAATTCTTTTTGGATATTCAATTGTTTGAGTTTGATAAGTGCCTAAATTGATGGGTGATAATTGGCTATGTATGTTGTTTGAGTCCTTTTTTGAGATGTGATTAGATGTTGGACTTCATTTGTTATAATCCTTTTTCATTTGAGCATATTAAACACAGGACACTTCTCCTGTGAATGTTATGTTTGTTGTGTTGGTTTGGTGTATTACCCTCTATTTGAAGGTGTTGATGATGTGATTGGGATTTCTGTTGTTGTTGGCTGTGTTGATTATCACCTTAGTTGGTTGTGTTGGCTCTTACCTTAGTTGGTTGTGTTCACTAGTACATAATTAACCATAAGTAACACCCAAAAAATGTTACAGAAAGTGATAAAAGTGTTATTATAGACAATGGGTAACACTTTAGTGGGTGATACATCTGCCCATGTTACCTAAAGTCTTATGTAACACTTTGGGTAATGTATGGTAACACTTTTAAAAGTGTTACTATATACCCTATTATGTATCACTTTTTTATATTATTAGTATCATTTTTAAAGTGTTACTTTTTATTTCTTATGTAACACTTGATTATCTTTAGTAACATTTATCAATCATACAGTAACACTCTATTCGACATTAAGTATCACTTTAGAGAACTAATGTAACACCTTATTGATTGTTAGATAACATTTTCAATCATCTTTTGACATATAGTATCACTATATTTCTACATTATGTATCACTTTTTGCAAATTAATGTAACACTTTTTTAATTAATTGGTAACACTTTATTATTATTATTATTATTATTATTATTATTATTATTATTATTATTATTATTATTATTATTATTATTATTATTATTCACTAGTAGAAAAGGTGTATTGGGGTTGCCCATAACAGAGGTTAGTAGAAAAAAAAAATTTACTTCTTTTTCACTAAAACTGATAAAAACCATTGAATATATATATATATACATATAAACTTGGATAATTTTATTAATAAATGCTTGTAATATTACAATTTCATCAATGAAAAAAAAAAAATCCCCCAATCACAATGCTTGAGGCTAGGTAGCAGTAAAGCACAACATAAGCAACAACAGTGTTGAATCATAATCATTCACAGCCTTCTCCTCCCTATGTTGCCTCCGTTTTTGCGAGTACTAGATGTTGGGATGGGAGTCACATTATTTCATCTGGAATGCGGACATTAGTGCATCAATACAAGGTTCGTCAAAGAACATGGAGATGCTAAACACACTTATATAGAAAGATCAATTATTCACTACAACCTCAATTCCGAAAACCTACAATCATCCACAGTATAAGATTTCATTAGTTCACTATAATCTCAGTTATAGTTCAGAAGACAGTTAAATATCTTGACCAAATTCAAATCATTTACCCACTAAAAGAGATGAGACAATATACAATTAGATTCCAACACATCAACAAATGTGATGGAACATCGTTCAATATTATTCAGAGTTTCATACTATAAAGTCCGGCGTAATAAGACTAAGAGAATTGATTTGAGTATTGATTCATGGAATTACTGAAACAAAATCAGAACATATGAAAATTTTCACCTTTGCATACAATATGGTGGACATGTAAGTTCCACAGTCAGACGATTTACTAATATGTTTAGAACTTCAAATTGAATAAAATGAAGAGGCCACTCACAAAATATGAGAATACAAAAGAGAACACTATATAGAAAAATCATATGTAAACTAAAAAGTAAGAGGAAAAGAGCACCGAGCAAAGTGATGCAACAAAATTGCCCGGCACGCTCCAATATTCACAGGTCACAACAAACTCTCTCAAGGAACTTGATAGTTGACAGTATAAAAACTTCCTTTTGTCTTCCGTTATAAATTAGTAGTACACAATTATACCTCATTTCTAATCTTGTAAAAGGAAATTCATTATATAAGAATACTATTTTAATTGAAGGTTACCTGAAATAAAGCAGTTGGCCCAAGCAGATTGCAGGGTAGATCCAACACCAAGGCTCCATAGTTCTGACCTAATAATGTCAATGATGGCATTCCCTAAAGAAATAAAGCAGATAAACGCTTAAAAAGATACTCCTTCCGTGTTTTTTTATGTGTTACACTTTGACCGGCACATAGTTTTAGACAATTTAATTGACTTAAATATAATAAGAGGTAAGTGGGGTACTTGATATCTGACTTGCAAATGTTAGAAATAAATATTCTTTGCATTAACTATTTCACTTGTGAAATTTACAAGTGGTGGGCTTGTGGTTCACATTTTGTTAATCGCACTATATAATCAACTTGTCATGCTCTTGTTATTAGTTTTCTATATTTTTAATCTTTTTTTTTCTTTAATAGTTTAGGGGTGAGGTGGCATACAATTAGACATCTCCAAAATAACATAGGGATCTAAATTGGATGTGGTTGTCATTTTCTGTGCTTTGTATTTGTAAAATGTTAATTGGCCTTTTTCTGTTAATGCTTAACCAGCTAAGAAAGGTGAAAAATTCATAGATCTATATTCTATAGGAAAAATTGTCAAAAAAATACAATGAGCGAACCGCTAAAAACAAGTTAAACTTTTAATTATTTCTAAATAATACAAAATTTAAGGGATATATGATTTAAACAAGTTATTTTACCTACAACTTATTTAACCGGTTATTTTTTTTATTTATCTTATAAAGTTTTTTAATAGTTTTTAAAAAATAATACAATGTCACGTGTTCCATATAACCTATTCATGAGGTAAATAATCGGTTTTAACTTGTTTAAAACGGATAACCCTCAAAGTTTGTATTATTAAAAAATAATTAAAAGTTTGACTTGTTTTTGGTGGATTGCTCAAAGTTAGTATTATTTTTGATAACTTTTCCTATTCTATAAAGGAAAAGGATGTTTAATTTAGTAGCATATTGAGCTACTATACATCAAAACTACAGATGAGAATAAACTTAAAAAGCAATGATGCACACTTGCCGACTTAGGCTACTCTCTGCAACTACATACTTGTTTTGTGTCTGCTGTGATGAATCGTTAAAAAAAATTATAATTTTTTATATCTGAATTCCAAAGTTCCATGAGTATTGCTTTTTTATTTTGACTATTGGTATATTTGGATGATAATGATCTAAATTAAAATAGCTCATGAAACTATTTGTTATTGATCATTGTGTAGAAGATCATGAAACTATCTTAACAAATAAAATTCAAATGTCATATAAACTAACTATGACATTCTAGATTAGACTACTGAAAGTAAATAAACCAGACGCACAGTAGTACTTAATAACCAAAATTTTGCACTAACTAGTTATACTTAGCTTAGCTTATTTTAAAACTAAACAATTAAACATTCAGTCAAGCTAAGAGTTGACCCTTCAAACATTACATTAATATAACATTTCTTTTTCAAATTTCTGATTTTTTTTCAATATCCATAATGTGTTGAAATATTAATACTAATACTAATAATAATAAAGTCATTTTGATCTCAATAGTGATATATTTTGATAAATTTGTTAAGGGTTAAGTATGTGAATCTCCTTGATGAAATCACGAAAACAGACAATTAAAAAAAACAAATGTACATAAAAGAAGTGCAGGAAGAGAGGAAGTAAATTTCAGGTACAAAACCATGAAAAAGCCGCCCAACGATTATAAAACCATGGACATTAAACATCAAATTCCAATATAGGAGAAGGCACAACAACTATTTGCAAGTTAGAAGTCCAATTTTCGAAATATATATTAATGACTTGGTTAGATTTTGTAAAATTAATCATAAGGGGTTATATTGGATTTTGGAATAAGTAAAGTAAAATCAAATTATATACTCTGTATAAAACCACTAAAAGCGATTAATTCAATTAGATCAAGCCCAAGATACTTAATGATCCAACAAGAAATATACTTATATTGCACATATAGTTGAAGCAAAACCCATGAAAGCAATAAATTCAACATTTAATGGCAGTTAAAATTTCTTATTACACCAAGTTTAGAGTCACAGGAAGTTTAAACTTAAAGTTTATAAGCAACATGTAATGCTCAAAACAATGATTCTTATGAAAAATTGCTAACCTTTATAGTCAATCAACTCGATAGTCCTCAATTCAGTTAATACATTAGCTTCTCACACATCCAAAGCCCTAAACACGGCATTGCCTTCAATTTCTGCATCTCTTTCACACATAGTTACTTGGATTCTAGACAATTTTATGAAGAATCAATTCAGAAAAGAAAATAGTTAAATTAAAATTGGTCAGATTAGTTAAAAAAGATGAAATTACAAGGTAAATCAAAGAAGCAGTAATGGAAAAGAAGAAAAAACAGAAAATCCACTCATCTAAATATATACTTCATCCAATTCAGATGCATGCAAAATTAAGTATGATAATAGTGAAATTAAACTTGTTAATAGGAAAATTCACTATGAAAATAGTGAAATGAAACATGATAATAGGAAAATTCAATATCAAATTAAAACCCTGAATTTAGTCAGCTCAAATACTTGTTGATAATGGAAGGGAGAGGGAACTGACCTAATCATAACCCTAAATTTAAGGTGGAAGCCGTCGAGGATGGAGGCCAGGAGGTGGCAAACGTTGTCTCTTCAACTTGGATCACGGGCAATTGTGACAGTTTCGAGTTGGAGCACGGGTTGCAATGGAGGGAGGCTGCGGCGGTGGATGGGGACTACAGTGGAGCACCGGGAACGAGAAGGGGGTAGCGGTAGTAGTGGTGGAAGCCGAGAAGGGGGTAGCGATGGAAGCCGAGCAAGGAAAATGAAGTGTAAAAGATAGTGAAAGCTTGAGGGATGGAGAAGTAAGAGGGAAGAAGAAATTTGTGACTTGTGACTTCTGACTTGTGAGGCTGTAATTGTGAGGATCGATTGTTTTAATAAAAATATTTGTAAAAAAAACAAGAAAAAAAAGTGTTATAACCAAGTGCTACCTAATATCTAAGTGTTACCATAAAGTGTTACATAATATTAAAGTGGTACAAATAATGTTACCTAATACAGCAGTGTTACAAAAGTGTTACGTAAAAATTAAACAATGATGAAATTTTTAAAGTGTTACCAATGGGTGTTACTTAAGCTCAATTTTGTAGTAGTGGTTGGCTCTTAGGTTAGTTGGTTGTGTTGGTTATTCCCTTAGTTGGATGTGTTGGCTATCTTGGTTGAAACTTTACTTAGTTGTGTTATATGTGTTGATTATAGTGGGTATTGTTGTTGTTGCCTGATATGTGTATGTATGTGTATTGGCATATGAGTCCCCAAATAGGCCCCTTAGATGGAATGAGTCCCAAAATATGTAATGCATCACTAACACTTAGTTCTCCAAACACTAGTACAAAACTAACTTCAAGTAACACCCAAAAAGTGTTTTATAAAGTGATAAAAATGTTATTATAGACAATAGGTAACACTTTATTGGGTGATACTTCCGCCCATGTTACCTTAGGTCTTATGTAACACTTTGAGTAACGTATGGTAACACTTTCAAAAGTGTTACTCTAAACATTCTTATGTAACACTTTTTATATTATTAGTATCATTTTTAAAGTGTTACTTTTTATTTCTTATGTAACACTTACTTATCTTCAGTAACATATTTAAATCATATAGTATCACTTTATCTAACATTATGTATCACTTTTATGAACTAATATAACACTTAGTTAATTATTAGGTAACATTTTTCGTTCATCTTTTAACATATAGTAATACTTTATTCGACATTATGTATCACTTTTACAAACTAATGTAACACCTTATCAGTTGATAGGTAACATAAATTTATTATTATTATTATTTTTACTATTACTATTACTATTACTATTACTATTACTATTACTATTACTATTACTATTACTATTACTATTACTATTACTATTACTATTACTATTACTATTACTATTACTATTACTATTACTATTACTATTACTATTACTATTACTATTACTATTACTATTACTATTACTATTACTATTACTATTACTATTACTATTACTATTACTATTACTATTACTATTACTATTACTATTACTATTACTATTACTATTACTATTACTATTACTATTATTATTTATTATTATTATTATTATTATTGTTGTTATTGTTATTGTTATTATTATTATTATTATTATATAAAAATAATATTAATATGTACAACAATTATGGATGAGAAATTAACAAATATGATATACAACAATTTGGATTAAAATAATCCACAAACGCCAATTTTAATGTTTGACCAAACAATATAATAATCAAACACAAAGAAAATCAACTTTGATCTCTAGCTTGAAAAGTGACAAAATAAGAAAAACTTCTAAATTTCAAAAAACATTCAGCAATAGCAGTAAATAACATTAATAACAACAGATAGCAGCAACTAGCTAGCAAAACGGGCAGCAACGGTAACGGAAGCTACAACAACATTATGTAGCAGCAACTAGTGGTAGCAGACAACAATGGCAGCAGCGAGCTATAATAGACAACAATGGCAGCAAATAAACAGTAGTAGCAGCAAAAAAAACAACAACAAAACAGCAATAGCAGCATCAATACAGCAGTAGCAGCAACAAAATAGCGGTAGCAGCTACAAAACAATGGTAACAACAAGTTCTTCTTGTAGCATCATCACTTGCTCTCCCAATTCTTCATCTTGATCTATTTGATCCTATGTGTGAAAGCATCATATATCAAATAACTAGAACAAAAATGGAATAATGCATAATAAGTCAGTGCTTTTTTAAAAAGAATATATTAACTATTACCTCATTTTGCTCTTGTTCATTAGACTTTTAGAGTGTACATTGGAAAAATCTGATTATAATACCCCATATAAGGTTTTGAAATTTTTCCTCTATTTTCTAAGATTCCAACACTTTTATCCCAACAGATTAGGAAGGAAGAGAAAGCCTTTAATCAGAGACACGTCGAGTGAAAGAACATGTAAGGGCCCTATTGTTTTGCAATTAGATTAGAATTTGGCAGCATACATAAAATCTCAAAAGCCATGATACAATACAACTCAAAACAAAACAAAATGAAACACATATATGGACAATCAACTATACATACCTGGCTATCATAAATGTAAAATAAGTTGTGGGCAATGAAGATTCAATAAGAGTATTGAGCCAGATAAGAAGGATAACAGATCACCAAACCTTGAGAACGTTGTTCCTATGTTGCTTGTCATTCAAGCCCTTTTTCCACACTAGATGACAACAAATTAAAGGTTTCACCTGGGACAATTGAAAGGAAATTTTTTTGCTAGCCAGATACAACTAGTCTTCTCCTTGTTGAAACAAACATGAAGTAGTGACGAATTTATAAGCACAATGTTCAAGGAGTGATATCACAAGTTCTAATAGCACTTCAGCTTCTAACCTAAGAAGATTGGAAGCAGCTACCTGGCTTTAACAACTTAAGATGTTACCAACTTGACAAGAGCCATAGCAAGTAAACAGTTTGATGTTATAAACGAGGACCTTTGATTGCCAGTGTATGGCATATATAATTTAAATAGAAAGAGACATTAAATCAAAATAAGCTAATAGGTATTTTCCGTCATTAGTGCAAATCTTATGTGAAATTACCTGTACAAAATTTTGATTATTCTTTATATTATAATTCACCGGTTCCATATAATTGGTCTAATCTTTAGCATTTGGTCTCTCACTAACTCACATTTAGACAATCAATATTAAAAGTCTTTATTGCTTACATGGAATAATACATTATATTGAAATTTTACAAGGTAACCTTGATGTTAAGCGAAGTGGTAAAAGTGACCTTGAGTTTTTACAAATAAGCTTAGGTTATGGATTTCTTTAAATGATGACAGATAAATAACACAGTAAGTAATCCTCTTCCGTATTCTTGGTCTTCTTAAAGCTAAATAAATAGGTTATATACTTGCATTCATCACTCCCTTCAACTAAACCTTTCAACCACCCTCTCCCCCCCTCCACATTTCCCCTCCCCCAACATTATAAATTCTGCAAAGTGCAAACCTTGTACTAGAGTTTGTGAGGGAATTAAAATGCGTGTGTCGAGACATAAGAGAGAATATAACAAAAGATAGCAGCAATAGCAAGCAGAAACATCACGACTTGCAACAACTTAATAATTGAACTTCCTTAACCTTCTAAATAATCACAGCCAGAAATCCTTGGCTAGTCACCAACTTTGCTGTAGAACTACATTACAAGCATTCCACATTTCCACCTCTCTTTGTGAAGAAAGATGAACAAGAAAGATACACCAATGTAGTGATATTTAGATAAATCACATGTATTGCTAGCACTAACTTAATGCATATTTAAATTACTCATTCAAACTTTAGTCATTGCATAACGCGTATAAGTTATAAGTACCACTTTACAGAAAAGTAAGACAATAATGCTAAAATGCTAGTCCATGTAGGCATGAGAAAGAGATTTAGAGATACAAATAGTATTAAAACTAAGTTTTCATAATTAAAGCCTGGAAAATGTGGCAACCAATGGTCTGATGCAATATTCACATGTTTCTTACAAAAGTACTCCGTAACTACTAGTAAAAGAGAAGTGTCGGGATAATGAAAACTAAACCCAATTCCATAATTAGAGCTTAAAAAAAGGAAAACCTTGCTAGGAGTGGTCAGTGTTGGTTTTGGCAGTAGCAGGAATAGCAACAGTAGTATGAATATTAAACACCATTCCTCCGATTATAACTGGTATTGCCCTGAATTTTTGCACATCTTTCACTCACAATTACTTGGATTCTCGACAAGCTTATGAAGAATCACTTCAAAAAAGAAAATATTTTAAATTAAATTAGATAGATTAGTCAACAAAGATCAATTTACAAGGTTAATCAAATCCGCAATAATGAAAATATTAAAATTAAAGTTAAAGTAGAAAAAACAAAAATCCCAAACTCATCTAAATACTTCCACCAATTCTAATGCATGCAAATTAAAATTTAGTATAAAAATAATGAAATTAAACTTGTTAATAGGCAAATTCAACATCAAAATTAGAAATTATCAAAAAGATCAGAAAGAGGGAATTGAAATCCTAACTTTAGGGAGGCCAGAAGGTAGCAATAGATGCCTTTGGAGGTGGTAATCGCTGGCACGAGTTGTTGTGTACGTCTTCAAGTTGGAGCTGCAACGGAGGGAGGCTACGGTGGACGGGAGCTACAGTGGAGCACCAGGAGCGAGAAGGGGGTAGCGGTGGACTGTGAAAGCAGATTAGATGGATGGAGAAATACGAGTGAGGAAGAAATTTGTGAGTTTACGACTAAGGGACTAAGGGTCGATTTTAAGAATTTATACTTTGTACTTCCTCTGTTCTTTTTTACTTGACCTATTTCTTTTGTCACGCTTTCCAATGTAAAACTTTAACGGTTAATAACTTTAATTCTCCATAATTAAAAAATATAAAAGTTATATATTATGATAGTACTTATTGAGATGAATTTAAAATGATCCAACATATATATGTTTTTCCTTGCATATTATTCACAAAACACGGTCAAAGGAGGGGTGGTGAATAGTGTAAAAGTCAAAGCGGGTCAAGTAAAAAAGAACGGAGGAAGTATATTTTAAGAAATAAAAACAAGAATTTTTTTTTAAATAAAGTGTTTTTCTTCAAAAAAAAAATTTAATAAATTAAATTAATGTTACAATAAAGTTCTACCTAATATCAAAGTGTTACTATAAAGTGTTACATAATATTGAAGTGCTACGAAAATTGTTACCTAATACCAAAATGTTACAAAAGTGTTACCTATAAATTAAACAATCATAAATTTTTTACATTGTTACCAATGGGTGTTACTTAAGTCCAACTTTGTACTAGTGAAATGATGAAGGGACTCAACTGATAGCTCATTGTTCAGTGTGGAGGCTCTAGTGACTTCTTTTGAGGTTGTTGTTGAGGTGCCCATTGTCAAGATTGCTTTGAGTGAAAAAACACCCTATCTGATGGAATTCTTTTGCATTTTCATTTAATCAAAAACATGTGAAGCTTACAAAAGTTAGGACAGTAATCCTTTGAGTCCTAATGCATGACTTCCTA